CAACAAAGAATCACTTCAAGACCCGCTATTAAGGAAACAATTTCACTCCCATCCACCTCCCAGCATCATCATCATTATCATCTATTATCTTCTTCTCCTTCTCAACCCATCTATCAGTCTACCTCAGTTAACATATTGACTTTGTTAAGGTATTATTTAACTCATCATCAGTCTCCATCCATAAGCATCACTCATCAAGTTATTTCTCATTTTTCGATATTTTTTATCTTCTTCTTCTTCTCTCCATTTCTCCTCCTTTTTAATGATTTATGAAAAGCGTATTCATAAAACAACAACTCCATATGCTACATAATCATCATCATATTAGGTAAATAGGTAAAGTTACCTTTTCGAATGTAACATTTCGAAAATCATTTTTACCCAAAAAGCCTTTACAAAAATTGATATTTACTTTGCATTGAATTACATTGAAGTATTCATTATTCAATAATCACTCTTCAACTTTGACAAACAACTGTGAAAATTGGCATCAATGTATGAATCGAAACTGAAAAAGTTTATCGAAAATTTTTCTCCTCTTTTTCATTTTCGATTCCACTTTTAGACTTAATCTCAATAATAATGGTTTTTTCAGGGTAAATTTATCCTCAATATTGGGTGGTCAATTTGATTGATTAATGAGAGTTGAGTTTGCGTTTCGTTAACAAGTTTAAAAGGATAGGAACAAGAAGAATCACCATTCAGATAATAAATAAATTATCACATCATTCCCTTGCAGAATCACTTTTCTCAGATTCATGATATTAATTCTTAATATTGAATCCATAAAGAAAAAGAAGAAAAGATAATGATAATGTTTTGTTCAGTTTATCGTTTATAATGATTCTGATAATTTAGACTTGCTTTTTAATCCATTTCATGATCCATTAGGAAATGGCAAGAGCAATTCAAATTTCGTGTTTTCACTTTTTTTTTGTTCCTCTTTGTTGCTCTCAATTTTGATCATCAAGATTATTAATTTGCATTTTCATCAATTTATCAACTTGATCAGTTTTTATCATCAGAAATGGTCAATAGCTAATGAAAGTTTGGAAAATAATTTTTACTTTAATTGCAATAATAAAGTAAATTGTAAAATGTGAAAATGATGATTGGACCAACATATGGAGTCTCGGTTTTGATGATTTACTGATTATTACTCTTGTAGTGATGATGATTATGATGATTATAGTGAGTAGATGAGTAAACTTGGCAGATGTAAATGAACATGAAATATTTTGTTCCATAATTAGTCAATAACATCCTCCTTCTTCACCATCATTTTCATCATCTTTTTCTTCTTCTTCTTTTTCCTCATCAACATCATTTTTATCACTTTTTGCTCGGCTCATCCTCTCATTGCTTCAATAGCACAGAAAAGGTAACCCATTTTACTGTATTTTAATTTACTTTCATCATAATCCATTAATGGTTATCATTTTAAGTTCAATTTGTCTGCACTAAAAACAGAACCACTTTACGTCAAAAATGGCTTTTAATGGTGAAGCCTTGGGATGGTTCACCAAGAATTGGATGACAATGAGAAGTATCCAAATGGCAGTTTTGCAAATTCAAGGTTCTCATTAAATGCTGCACTTCACATGATCGCCAGTCAAATTTAGAGCAACATGATTAGGAAGAAAATTAATTTAGAAAAAGAGAAATTATGAAAATCGAAAAGTGATCGAAATGATTGCAAATCAAACCTTTTTTAAATCATAATTGCATGTTGACTAAACGCTGGTAAATATTTCTAAATCTGCCTGAACTTTATCAAGTGTTCAAGAGAAGAACTGTTTTGCTCGTTTTTCAATGTTTCATACTTTCCATTGTCTCATTGCGATTCTTTGCATTTGACTCTTGTTGTACCTTGAGTTGGCTTCATGTTCAACTTGTGTCTGACTCTCTTCAATGGTTGTTTATTCATCACAAAGTGATAAGCGTCTTCTCATGCTACTGGATTAACTGTAGTTTTGTGAAGTTTCTTGTCAATTGCTCTTGAAATTGAGTGAATCAATCATTGTCAGTCCTTTCAATAGACGAATTGACCTTTTACCTTTATCTTTATGAACAATGACCATTTAAGTGCGACACGTGTCAGCCTTGAATATCTTATGGTTATACAGACTTGTTATTATTACTCTGTTTCGTGCCATTATCATTATCAATTGAGCCATTTAATTAATACATAAAGGTCACATAAGCAAGAAACTTGATAATACTGGTAATTCCGTTTTTTTCATGTTTCAAATTCTGAGCTGCAATAAGAATGCAAAACTGAAACTAAAAATCGAAATGTTTGCAATTGAAATGAACGCTTCCCTCTTCCGTCTTTCGATAGACGGCACAAAATTGAAATGCAATCTAACCAAAAGATTCATGAAAACGCAAAATGCGAATTGAAAAACTACTTTTTAATTTTCTTTACTTCAAATCCTCATCAGAATCCATTCAATTCATTGCATTTGAACCCATTTCAAACCAAATCTTGACCATAGATTGAACGCAAACTCAGAAGATTACATGAATATACACAGTAAAGCACCAATTCTTGACTTGATTGAATAATAATCTATGAAGTTTCCTCCTTCAACCTCCTCTAACCTCCTCCTTTCATCCTCCTTTCGCTGTTCCTCTCTTTCTCCATGCTCTTTCTCCTTCTCTCACTTGCAGAACGTTAATGATACAATAATGATGATAACCTTGTGAATGGTCATCAACATCTTGAAAAGGCCAGCGGACCCAACACAATGTTCATTGAATGTAAGGAAAGTAAAGATACAAATATATAATAATAGATAATAACATTTCCTGAGGTTAACACAAGAAGAGAAAAGCAAAGATTATTTTCAATGTGAATTATGGTTAACTAATTCCGTTTAAATTTCAATTTAACTTTTCAAAGTTTTCTGTATCTTTGACCATCTCTATTGTGTGAGGTCTGTATACCTGTAACGTAATAATAACCCAATAACTTTGTGTGTTAACTCAGTAAATTAACAGTCATCATCCTAAACATCATCATAATCAACAGCAACATCAACAAAATCATTATCATTTCCTTTTCAAATTTCAAGAATAAGAAGAAAGGAAAAGAGAGAAAAAAAACTGTTTTTGATTGATAAGGAGTGGTTCCTCATTTTGGGCTTCATAGTGTGATCAAGTTATACAAATAACGATAAAGTACGGGAGAGAGGAAAAAAAAGATGAGAAAAGAACCCAAAAATATATCAATAATAGTGGGTCATCATTGAATGTTAAATGTCTATTATTGAGACTCTATTCAAAGTCATTAAAAGCGTTTAAAGCATTTCGTTGAATGAAGACATTTAAACGCAACTTTTGCCCATTTTGACCACAAGTTGGCCACGAGCCGAAAGTGATGAAAAGAAGAGTAAATTGTTGATTAATTTTCTCAATCTTTTCAATTGAATAATCGGCAATCTTTTGCTTCTTCAAAACCAGTTGTTTCAATATTATTCATTTCTTTGTTTTCCTTACAGAAGCTTTTGTCTTTTTTTTCTGGTTCAAATGTTTTTAACCTTAAATGGTAGACTAAATTGTTGCAATTAAGATGAACAATGAAACAGTAAAGTGAAACAACTGATTAATTGATAAGCATAAATGAAATGTGAAGAAACAATTTCTCTTCAATATTCATCTTTTTCTTTGTCTATTCCAATGGTAATCAGTTTTACTCTTCATGGTTCAATTTAGATTGAATTTCAACTTTTTTTTGTTTGGCCAACAATTGAAACATTATTTATTCACATATTCATCTTGATCAATAGATTTAAATCGGTCTAAATTGGACTACTTTTGTTTTGCTGCTAATCATTTCTTTCATCATTTGGCAATCATTTGATGTGCAAGTAAAATGTATGAAATGAATGTTTCAATTGTTGATTAAACTCCTCTTTTTCCCTATGAAAATATAAATATTTAGGTTATTAAGTATTAAAGATGCAATGAAAGGTAATACAAGGTTTGTTAACTGGTTCAGTGGACATTGGCTAGAAGACAAACGGACACACAAAAGGTAATCATCTATTGAAGAGAGAAGTAGAATGCTCACGAAAATGTTATTTTTGTTGTTTCCAAAACACTCAATATTATCATTAATATCAATAAATTATGCAGTTGTATTTACTTCTCTGGTCAAGGAAAAGAGAGCAACCTATAGAAAGTGGACAATGGTTCATCTAAAGCTTAGGTCAACATAAAACATTTTGATTCATTGCATTTTCAATGGCAAGAGATTACAGAATATAATGGATTACCAAAAGTTTCACCAAAAGTCATCATGAGACCAAGATTCAACTAAAGATCGAAAAGTAATTTGATGAAATGATTGAAGAGAGTCGAAGTAAATTTTAAAGTAAATTTCTTCTTCTCAGTTTGCACCAAAATTGAACAACTTGAGAGGCCAAAACAGGAAAATCTCATGTAAACTTGTCCATTTATTTGCTGTTTTGCAAAGCTATTAATTTAACAGGTTAAAGTGAAAACTTTAAATTGGAGAAACAAAAATAGTTGAGTTAATCTTGTTAACAATAACATGATATTAAATGCATTATGTTATCAATAGGCAAAGTAAATATTTTGCATGTAAACAGGACAACAGGTAATGGAGCAAAGATGAAATGGCAAACAATTGTTTAATTGTTGGTAAATACAGTTGAATTGGTTTCAAATTGGAAATTGAATTGAAAAAAAACACTTTTTTTCTCATTTTAATTGATTCTTTTTTCTCTCGCTTCATCTTTTTCGTCTATTTGTCTTACAATTTCATCTTCTTTAATTGACTTTTCACCGCAAAAATATTTTGTTATGAATTTAAACATTTGAAATATTATTAAATCTTAATTAACTTTGATAATCACTTGGATGAAAGGCAATTCAAGTGTTTATTAACCTTGCAAGTCAAAGTGAACAAAGTTGAATTATTATATCATATCATGACAAAAAGGTAATAAATCATTATTTAAACCAGTTTACGATTTGATTTGATTTTTGTTTCTGCTTGCGCTTTTAATTAACCAATAAATTTGAAGAAAAAAAAATCATTTGCTTTTAATTGTTGCTCTGTTGAGTTAAAAGTAAATCAGAGTCGTGATAAATTGAGTTGATTGAAAGGCCAAAGAATATATGATTACATTGGTATTTTTTGTTACCCCACTTGAAATGACTTTAAAAATCAAGTTCAGGTGAAAAAGTGTATTGAAAAAACGTTAAATTCAATTTTCATTTTAGCATCAGTTTAACCTCAATTGAATTAATTTGATCACAAATTATCAATTAAATGGTTTTGACGCAGTTTCATTTTGATTGTAAAAATATTTAAATTGAAAAAAAGCCATTCCTTTTGTTTAACAACAACAACGTTACAATTTAGCTCTTTTTTCGTGTTGCTATTACTTTTGATTGACTTTTCAACAATTTGATTTGGTTCCTCATTTGTTAACAGGTAAAAAAATATTAACATTGTTGATAACTTTTGGAGGTTCAAACAAATAATAAAATAAAGGTAAATCAATTGCAGATGCGTTTGAACGGTTAAAGTTTCAAGCTAATAAAATGATTTAACCATGAATAGATTTTTGTGTTTTTTTTCAATTAGATTGTAAAATGTTTAAACATTCTACCTTTTGCTTTTTGCTTGTAACTTGTTGTTCAACATTCAGTTTTTTATCCACTTCTAGGTTACACTTTGAGTCAAGTAATCCATCACATGAAAACCTGACCAACAAGAATGGTTAAAATGCATCAAGAACATCTCATAATAGTAAACCATTTAAAGGTATTAATTGTTTTATGTCAAGTTATTTATTCTCCACTCTTTACTTTATTCTGCTTTATCTTTATCAAATCCAATTGCCCTTCAAATTAATTCAGTAAATTATCATCGTTTGTTTAAATACGTGTATAAAGATGAGCAAAAACAGGGTGAGATGAGATGAAGCTTATCCTGAAGTTCACGCATATTATTACGATGAATCAATGTTTCAATGAGTATTCTCGAATAGTCTCGAATGATTTAAGATGGCAAACGATTATGATGATGATTATGATGGGAATGAGATGAGATGGAGACAGTGATGGCATTCACGTCATGTATGGTGGATCATGTTGATGCAGCTGATGATGGTGGTGATGTGGTGATGAAGGCAACAGTACTGATGATGCAAGATTGTGTGATTTAACTGAAAGAGAAAAATAAATATAAAATTAGATTATCAATAATAAAGTGTTAGGTGTGTCCATAGAAGGTCAACAAATAAAGGAATGTGTTATTTCATTTCAACCATTCACATCCACTTTATTGTCAACTATTATTTTTTGTATTGTACATTTCAAATGGTTGACTTTTTCTAACCACAAGAGAATATAAAAAACTAACTGTGATTAGAGGCCTCCACGCGATTCCTGTAGTTTACAATTAACTTTTTTAAGGGCTTCAATTTGTTGCTCCAATGCTTGTCTCCTAGTGTTGGCCAATTCCTCGGCCAAGTCTGACTCTTTTTTCTGTTCTAATGCTTGTGATTCCAACTCTTTTTTGGTAATTATGAGATCTTCAATAGCACCTTTAAGGGCGACATTTTCTTTACGCAACTCTTCAATGGTTGAGTATAACTTTTTAATGTCATTTTCAGCAGATTCTTCGGTTAATCGAGCAGCATACAGGTGACTCCTCATTTGATTGACATCTTCCTCCAGACAGCTCATCTTTTCGATGGTCCTTTGTAAAGTTTCTCTTAAATAAAGCTTTTCATTCTGCAGTTGTCGATTTTCCCTTGTAATGAATTCCATTTGTTTTTCATTTCGCTTGTAAATTTTTATCTCCTCACGACATTCCATCAACTGCGCTTGGATCTCTTGAATGTGCAGATCTTGAGGCATTTTAATCACAAACCGTAAATAACAATAAATTAAAAACTAGATAAATAAATTAAATAAACCAAAATTTCAATTAAAACATAAGGTAAAAAAGTAAATTTCAAATGTTACCTAAAATTTCATAAACTTTACCGCACCATTTTACGCCATCTAACGATGTTAAACCCAACCTGAAAAGACAGAGATTTTGCGCAAAATATGAAAAACAAAGATTTTTCAAACAATTATTTTTTCTTGATTACGACTTTTCAATTTAATTGAAGAAATTAACATTTTCCAATGGATATGAATAATTGAAAAGATAAGATAATAAATTATTGAAAATTTACAATGAAATTCAGTCTAAATATTCTTATTTCAATAGATCTAATGAAATGAGGCAAACCTGAAGTGAATTAAATTGTATTACTTTAATAATATGTAACATTATTAATTAATAAATAGATCAGTGGCTTTCTTGTGATTATTCATGAAACCAATAATATATCAACAGCTAATTTTTAAATTCATTCGTTGTTGGATGCATTTCATGACCAATTAAATTAATTTAATGATTAATCAATTGTTTTAATGAAGCTTTGTTTATTCGTCAATTTATCATTTCTCACTAATGAACTTCTGTCATTTTTAAACAATGAAGTCAGTGAAAGACAATTGAGACTTATTGATTAAAAAAGTTTGCAAGTAAAATATTTCACTGAAATATATGAGTTCGGCATGGAATGACAGGGAAAAGACTCACAATCTGTAATTAAAGATTTCAACATTTTTAAGTGACTTTTAAAATAACCTGAATAAGAGCTATTAGCAACGAAAACTTATAAGATTTTATTTGCTGATCTTTTGTAGAGCATAAGTTTCCAACCCCATTCAGATGTTATTGATGCATTCAGTATTTAGATGGTAAATTATTCAGAATTGCAGTTAACTGAAGCAAATGGACATGTTGGGTACTAAACACAACGGAGTTGTATCGAAATGGGTTCATTCAGATAGTATTGATGCACTGTTTGCAATTTTACTATTGTGAATTATATAAAATTACAGTGAAGTTAAAGGGTAAAGCTATGTTGCGGAGTAAACAGATTGCGATTGTATCACAATTGGTTCGGCATGTGATTGGGTTCCGTTCGAGTGATATCAATGACACTGTAGCAATAAAATATTTAAAGCAACTTGAATCAATGTGCATTTCATACAATATATTGCCAAACGGATTCTCACAAGATCCAAGTGTAACGCCATCGAAATGGACTAAAATAAAGTCCCTCCTTTACATAAGCATTATGACCATCAATATCATACACTTTATATTGTTGAGTGCCTTTGATCTGCCAGATGAATGGCATCTTCTTCTTGGTGACTTTTTCTATGGACATCCAAATGGTCGCTTCTTTTGGCTCTTCTTTTTGAATTTTTCTGTTTTTGGTGAAGTGATAAGACACTATTGGATATTTTTGGCTGGAAACGGTCACTTGACAACCTTTAAATTGGAACATTTAATATATTCAAAAGGATTCAGCAGTCGAGTTTTATTCATGGATCCATTTTACTGCAAAAAATTTCGTTTTGTTGCTACTAATTTAGCTATTTTTTGGGTGAGGACTTCATATTTCCTTACAATTAGTTTTGCACCAATTTTAATCTTCATTGTCCATTCAGCGTCCAAACTCCCGAAAACATCGGAACAATATATTTACACTGGCTTTTGGCTTCTCATCAGTTATCTTGGAGTCGCTTGTACCATGAGCAACTTAATTTTATCTGGTGGCTTAGCTACGATTCAATTATCCTACTTTTACTTCAAAGTTGCTCATGTAGCCCGAACTTTGCAAGATCTTTCCATGAAAAGAAGACACTCGAAAAATGCTGAGTATTCACTTGATTACAAGCCTATTGTTTGTGAGATTATTAAATATCAGAATGAAACTGAACACTGTAATATTGGTGTTAGAAACTGGTTCATATTCGTTTACCTTGGCCTTTCTGCTGTTGACAATTTTGGAGTTTACACTGCAGTTTTTGTTCACATTGATCGCGGATTCATGGACTTTTTTATTTTGGGTGTTTCCATGATTGGCTTTGTATCCATCGGAGCTTGTTCATACGTCAATGGAGTCATATTGACAAAGGTATGAAATTGCAAATGTTTGTTCGACATTTAATTTAATTTACTCACTTTTAGATGATCTCATGTTGCAAGAATCTAAGGAAAGTAACTAGCCGTTTGAAATTGGATGCAGAAACCTTCATAAAGGTATTGTTTGAGTTCTTAGTGTATAGTGATTGAACTGAACGATTCAGACTTTGAAGCTTAATAATTAAAGTTTGAATTGCCCAGTGCAAGCACACGTAAAAGATGCAAATTTAATAAACTTTTGATTTTAAGGTAACTGATTTAGAAGACCGACTTTCAAGAACTGATATTGCATTCACTATTGGTCAACTTTTGGACATGACTACTCGAGTTTTTGTTATTGTAAGCATAAAATATTTTCTTTAGTTCATTAATAGTAACTTTACCTTTTCTTTCCACTTTCAGTATTTGATCGAAAATATTTGCCTCATCATGATGTTTAAAGTCAATTTTCAATGAACTTCAAAAAAGTTCACAAATTGCGCCTATTCTTTGCTGAATTGAACTTAAACTTTAGTGGTAAAGCATTTGTTTAGAATCGATCAATAAGATTTCCGATACTTTGTTGAATTTCAGTTTATTTTAATAAATTGATTGTTTCCGCGGTTGGTATATTCCCAGATCATGAAAACATAACATTTCGCTAGAAAATACTTATGAATATGTACTTCGGATATTTACATCAAAGAAACTTGCATTATGTTTCAAAGGATATAATGTTTACAAATTCAACAATAATAATGAATACATAAAGTTTCATTAAGAACTCAACTTTCATATATTCGCCGAGTTTCACTTTTGGATACAGCAAAACACTTAATTTCAACTTGTTTACTTTTATGGAAATAAGAAGACGGAAGATGTCCAAGAAAAAGTTTTTTTTGACGCCACTAAGTTTGCCAAAACATTAAAATATTTTGCGAATCCAGTTCATTAATTTTGATAAGTGATACAAAAATAAGCGTAATCGTTATTTTGCACGATTTTCTTATTTCAAATTGACGAGTTTACATCGTAAAATGAAGCATAATAATCAACTATCAATAAATTGCAAATTCAAGTTTTAATAAACACCATATTTATTCATATATTGATTTTTTTCTGCAATGCATTGATGAATCAAATTGTTTACAAAGTATCAATATAGCTATTTTTATCTGAGCGAAATATGGGTGTATAACAACTTTATCTTTTCTTTCCACTCTCAGTATTCGATCAAAAATATTTGTCTCATTATGATGTTCAAGTTAACTTTCAATGAACATCAGTGATAAAACTACTCACCTAATCGATTAAAATTTGAGAACTAATCATGTAATCAGGATCTAGTCGCAACCAAAGTTGAAACGAACAACATTTTACGGTGCCTTTCATTCATGTAGAGCTATGGCTGAGATGCTGGGACTCTCTTGGAATAAATTATTCACACTGTTCACCCCACAGCGTTTTTTCACGATTTTCCATCTTCCAATTTTCCAAAATCACTAACATCTAACAAGGAACTAACATCTCAACATAAAGTAGCTCCGAGCAAATAGGTCAATCTGTCTTTTCTTTGCTTGTAAACATTCAAATCAACACCTTTCTGCCCATTTTACAATTTCTTTGAAAAAATGCCGTTTCACAAACGCTATGCATTTGAAATTTTTGATATCCCTCAATTGTTTTTGTTAAGTTTCGTTGTATGAGCCCACATAATATATAATAAATATTTTTAAGTTTAATTAGATGAATATTTCGGTTTACAACTTAAGTGTAATCAATTTTCACGATTTCCTTACCTTATATTGGTGAATTGATCGATTTGTTGCATACATAAGCAATAAAGAATAAATATTGATTGTTAATAACTTGAAAATTTCCTTTTTAATGAACTTTTATTTACTGCTTTTATACTTGCATAATTTTTATGAAATGACAGTGATTCAAGCAGATAAGCTTGAATTTTCAACAAACTAACAATGCAAATACAGTTACAAAGGAGAATGATTCTCATAATTATAAATCGATTTTGAATTTCCTTGAAAATAACATTAATAAAAGCTATTAGCAGCCAAAACTAGATGCAAAATGATCTTTTGAAAAGCTTGATTCTATTATAAATCTGACTCGAGTGCTATTGATATAATCAACTTTGAATTATTAATCATTCAAAATTACAGTAAGCAAACGGTCATGTTAAGAGGACAACACAATAAGGTTGATCTTGGATCAAAATTATTTCGACTTGTGATTGGATTTCATTCGAGTGATGATGATGCTGTAGCAATCAAACATTTAAAGCGATTCGAATCAATATGCATTTCATACAACATATTACCAAACGGATTCTCACAAGATCCAAGAGTAACGCCATCGAAATGGACTACAATAAAGTCTATACTTTACTTAAGTGTAATGACTATTAATATCGTACATTTGACGTTGTTGAGTGCCTTTGATCTACCAGATAAATGGCATCTTCTTCTTGGTGACTTTTTCTATGGACATCCGAATGGTCGTTTCTTTTGGATCTTTTGCTTGAATTTAGATATTTGTGGTGAATACATGAGACAGTTTTGGATATATTTGATTAAAAATGGTCACTTGACAACCTTGAAGTTGCAGCATTTGGTATATTTAAAAGGATTCAAGAGTCAAGTTTTATTAATGGATCGCTTTTACTGCAAAAAGTATCGCTTTGTTGCCGCCAACTTAGCTGTTTTTTGGGTTAGGATGTTATTTTCAGTTACAATAAGTTTTGCACCGATTTTAATCTTCATTGTCCATTCAGCGTCTAAACTTCCGCGAACATCGGAACAGTATATTTACACTGGATTTTGGGTTGTCACCAGTTATCTCGGAATCGTTTGTACCATAACCAACTTAATGTTAACTGGTGGTTTAATCACAATTCAATTGTCTTACTTTTACTTCAAAGTTGCTCATGTTGCCAGAACTGTGCAAGATCTTGCCACGAAAAGAAGACACTTAAA